TCTGAATTCAGTCAATTAGCTCAATGTCTGCATGTTCACAAACACAGAGGAATCCCCTGATGGAGAGAGCTGGCAGGGATGCTCAATGCTAAAAAAAAGAGACAGATAACCTTATTTTACCCCTCAAAGCCCATAGCTGTCGCTTTCTAATGGCCTGTAGTGAGAGACGCCAGTGCATGTCGTACTAGAATACTGCTCAAATGTTGCATTCCAACAGAATTTGATGTTAAAATGTGTGTAAATGTGTCGGCACAATAGCCTAGTGGTTAGCGCGCTGACATTCGGTGCAGTGGCACATCGAGGCGTCCTGAGTTTGAATCCCGGCTCAAGGATATTTCCCTACCCTACTCCCTCTCTCTTTCCAACTTTGCTTTCTGTCTTAATACTGTCCCATCTAATTTAAAAAGGCCAAAAATTTATCTTAAAAAAAAAGTGTGTTGATGTACATATTCCAATACAATTTGATATTAATTTCTTTAGAAGAGTAATTAGTTATAGTTACTTCCCACAAATAGCAACTAGTCACATAATTAGTGATTAATTACCAAGGAAAGTATTCATTCATTCACTTTCTTTTCGGCTTAGTCCCTTTATTAATCTGGGGTCGCCACAGCAGAATGAACCACCAACTTATCCAGCTTATGTTTTATACAGCGGATGCCCTTCCAGTTGCAACCCATCTCTGGGAAACACTCGTACATTCTCATTCACACTCATACATACGGACAATTTAGCTTACCCAATTCACCTGTACCGCATGTCTATGGACTAGTGGGTTAAACCGGAGCACCCGGAGTAAACCCACGCGAACGCAGGGAGAACATGCAAACTCCACATAGAAATCCCAACTGACCCAACCGAGGCTCGAACCAGCGACCTTCTTGCTGTAAGGCGACAGCACTGCCTACTGCACCACCGCAAATCATGGCAAAGATAGCATAATTCTTAGGAATTAATTAAAACTATAATCTGTTAAAAAATCTCTCTTTAACAGCACTAACAGAAAAAAAAAAATCACAAAAGTGCATATAATTTACTATCTCCTCATTTATTTCCACTATATCAACATTCAGCAAAACATCCCCACAGAAATCCCCACAAAAATGAGCAAAAAAAGGGATATTTTCATTATTTTGGCAGAGCTATGCCTCTAATATTCCTATTTGTACTATTGGTGGAGAATTGAAGCGAGGGAGTTTGAGAGCTCCATTTATTTACAATAACTTGCCTGATTAACATAACTAGCCACATTACCATAATTAACCTAGTTAAGCCTTTAAATGTCACTTTAAGCTGAATGCTAGTACCTTGAAAAATATCCAACCCAGGCTCTTGGCTCATTCTGAAAACATACCACTGTGTATATGTATATCCACCAGAGGCTGCTGTCGACTGACTGATTGACCGATCGACTGACCCACTCATCCCTTTCCTAAACCCAACCGAGTGTTTTCAAAAGCACAGATTGACCAGCGCCCACCCCCTTCCCTAAACCCAACCAACTGCCTGATTTTTACCACATTTTCAGATTTTACCACATTCTCACCCTGTTTTTTACTAGTTTGTTTACATTTTTTTCTATTGTTTTTGTCGTACCCGCTTTCTGAAACCGTTCTATCAACGGACTTAAACCCCATCATCATGATCAACTTCGCTCTGTGTTCCAAAATCGCCGACGTACATGGTGAGCTACTAAAGAAACTGATAACAGCGGAAAAAGCCGTCCATATAAAGGTAAGTGGTCAGCTGGAAAGTGCGAAAGGAACAGCTTTGACAAAACGCCCCACAGCGTTCATTTTGAAGACGAAATGCAGCCATATGTACCTCAGGCTACATAATTTATGATCTCCAGAAATGTATATCGGGGTACGTTTTCAGAATGAGCCTATGTTGAAAATATCTAGTCAAATATTATGAGCGGTCATCATGGCAAAGATAGCAGTTATTAGAAATTAATTAAAACTGTGATCTGTACAAAAAACAAATCTCTCTTTAACAGCACTAACACAAAAAGTTCACAAAAGTGCATTTAATTGACTATCTCCTCCTTTATTTCAACTATATCAACATTCAGCAAAACATCCCCACAGAAATCCCCAACAAAATACAGCAAAAAAAAGGGATATTTTCATTATTTTGGCAGAGCTATGCCTCTAATATTCCCATTTGTACCATTGGTGGAGAACTGAAGCGAGGGAGTTTGAGAGCTCCATTTATTTCAGCGCGGTGAACAAAAGAAATCTGACCGCCGGCTAATGCCTGCCTGCTTTTCAGAGCCATCGCCGGGCAGGTTTCCATGGTGAGTAACAAGAACAATCACAAAGCGGCTGAAATATATAAAAAAAAGCAGAGATATTCCTGGTCTTCAGCTCGTATACAGTAATCAGCTTGGCAACAGACTTCATTTCTGGCTGGCATCAGAGCATGTGCTATTGCAAAGAGCGGACGCTAAACCATATGCCATGCTTCCCTCCAGATGGCTGCCCATAGTGTTTTATTGAAATGTAATGAATGCTACATTTCTATGCTCGAGTACATCAACTAATAACTCATTCAATTATACCCAATTTGTGTCGGATTTCAGTGAAGGGAGATGCTAAACAAAACAAGATGGTTTTTGTGGAGGTCTGCAGCTGGATTTCCCTCTTTCTTTCTTTTCTTTCTTTCTTTTTTTAAAGAGTGAAGGGGAGAGTCTGGCACCTGTTTAACCTTTCGTTTGCATTATTATGCATGAAATTTATAGCTTCTGGTCTCGCAGTCAATAACACTAGGTCGAAGATAATGGCAGGAGTGTTGCCGTTTTTACTTTAATTAAAACAGTGGTTTAGCTTCAGGTCCCGTGTTTTATACTTGATTTTAATTGATGATGACACATGAACTGTTTACTGTGTCAAATTAAATACTGATATTGATGATATTGATTAATTAAGATATTGATAGACTATTAGTCTGTCAGACAACGTGTAGAATTATGTTTTATCCAACAGTCCCTCCAGGATTTTGCGAGTCTTATGGTTCTTGAAATTAATTGTACAAGATTTTTGTGAATTTTCACAGCAAAACACAAGAATTGAAGCAAATAATGCCAAAGGTTTCAAGAAAAGTTATAGTTTATTATTAATACTATTATTAATATTATAACTATTATTATTATTATTATGTTTTTAAAAGCGACACAGTGGCACAGGGGGTAGCGAATGAATGAATTATATTATATTATATTATATTATATTATATTATATTATATTATATTATATTACTAAAAAAAAGTAAACACAAAATCTGTCATTTTAGGCCACAAATAGGTTAAAAAACAAATTGTGTATGATAAATTAAAATCTATCTTGTTACAATAACGACAGTTATTAAACACAATACATTTATTTATTGACATAATATTGCAGTATATATTAAATATAATTTATTTCAAATAATTGTTATATTAATAATAATAATCAAAATAATATTAAATATAATAATAACAGTAATAGAAATAATAATAATAGTAGTAGTAATAATAATAATCTTCTCATTTTTATTATTATTATTATTATTATTATTATTATTAAGAAGTTATAACAAAATCTGTCAGTCTAGGCCACAAATGTCTAAAATGTGTGTCCCATCAAAATCCTATACATTATATTATATTATATAATTAAAACAACATTAAATCCAATCAATTCTAATCTATTTATCTTGTTACAATAACTACAGTTACTAAATACAATAACTTTATTACAATTAATATTTTATTATAGTTCATTTATTTTATTAAAATATCAGCCTTTATTTTAAATAATAATAATATTAAGAAAAATTGTCACAAAATCAGTTGTCTGCAAAATCCTAGAGACATTATATATTTGAATAAAAAAAATTAAATCCATTAAATTCAAATCTATTTATCTTGTTACAATAACTAATTATCATTTTCATTTACAAACATAATATGGCAGCATATATTAAGAGTATCTGGATTTATTTGAAACAATATAAATAATAATAGTTTTATCATCGTTATTATTATTATTATTATTATTATTATTATTAATAATAATAATAATAATAAACAATAAACAATAAACAATAATTACATTAACAAATACATGCATTATCTTCCCCAGATATTAAAACTAGTATTAATAATTCCAATAAATCCAGATATTTTTCCTAAAATTAAATACAAAGAAGTGCATTAAATCTATTTACAAAAAAAATAAGCCAAAAGCAAAAACCATTATGTTATTGCTGCCATATATTATTATTATATAAAATAAATAATATTAAACATATATTAATTCATTTATGTTTCTTCGAGTTCTTTATTTATCAGGGGTCACCACAGTGGAATGAACCACCAACTATATGTTTTACCAGTGAATGCAACCCACTACAGGGAAACACCCATACACACACACTCATACAGTGCAGCCAATTTACATAATTCAATTCCCCTATAGTGCATGTGTTTGGACTGTGAGGGAAACCCGAGCACCCGGAGGAAACCCACGTCAACATGGGGATAACATGCAAACTCCACACAGAAATGCCAACTGACCCAGCTGGGACTCAAACTTCTTGTTGTGAGGCAACATCGCTAACCACTGAGCCACTGGACCACATATACATATATTACTATTATTATTATTATTATTATTATCATGCCCTTATTTCCATCAGTTCCACTACTAAATGTGCTCGTCCAGAATAAGCTGCAAGTGCTCTAAAAATGATTAAAGAGTAGAAAACAAACCCACTTTGCAAAGGGAGTTTCCTGAACCACATTATTTCCGTCTCATTTCTCCTTCATTTGGAGCTTTAAACTCATCAGACACAGACCTGAATGATTTAATACACTGAAACATCAAGAGACAGAGCTGAGATAAGACCAGACAGTCTGAACTGCTGAAATAATAAGGAAAAATGACCCGAGAGCCGAGACGAGGAGCTGTTTGTGTGTGCGTGTGTGTGAAAGAGAGATGAGAAATGTCCATTACCTGTGAAGTTTGTCCTCCAGAAGCTCAATGTACTTCACAGTGTTTTCCTTCAAACTGCGCTCTGTTGAGGAGAGAAGAGAAAAACTATAATAATGTACATCAGGGAGAGTGTAGACATGTCATACATATTCATGTCCAGTCCAGACAGCGCTGTTCTCCTGGGTGAAAATCACAAAAACATGTGCAGGTCACATCTCAATGACAATTAAGACTTTTCAATCCTGCATTCTCTATTTTTTCCAATAGTTTGCATGTGATTAAGTGAATAAATATAAATACTAGTAGTTGTGTTTTACATACATACATATATATATATATATATATATATATATATATATATATGTGTGTGTGTGTGTGTGTGTGTGTGTGTGTGTGTGTGTGTGTGTGTGTGTGTGTGTGTGTGTGTGTGTATGTATATTTTTTTTTTCCCTAATTTCTGTTTAACGGAGAGAAAAATTTTTTAAGGATTTTTTAAAGACACTTCTATGCAGCCTAAAGGGACATTTAAAGACTTAACAATGTTAATTACGTCGGGGCACTGGGGAAGGGGTTAACTAGGTTAATTAGGTTAACTAGGCAGGTTAGGTTAATTAGGCAAGTTATTCTATAACGATGGTTTGTTCTGTAGACTATTGAGAAAAAAATTTGCCTAAAGGGACTAATAATTTTGTCTTAAGAATGGTGTTTAAAAAATTTAAAACTGCTTTTATTCTAGCCGAAATAAAACAAATAAGACTTTCTCCAGAAGAAAAAAATATTATCAGACATGAATATTTTATGTTATGTTATGTTATCATTTGGGAAAAAAATAAAAATAAAAATTGTATATATATATATATATATATATATATATATATATATATTAGCACTGTCAAAATTAGTGCGTTAAAGCATGCGATTAATTGTAAATAATTAACGCGTTAAACAAATTAACAAATTAACGCAATTAACGCAGTTGCAGGGTTTTTTTTTTTACTTCCTGTTGTGGTGGACGTGTGTTCAACATGCAATACATGTAGATAACACCAAGGAAGCACTTTTTGAAGGCAAGTTTTAGTATAAATCAATTAATGTCGCATCACCAGGATCATTATCCAGAGTTTCATGCAATTTCGGGTGTTTCATTTTTAACTTTCGACTTCCGTTATAAGTTGATACCGCATGGCGAACAGAAAGAAAATCCTCCGCATTTCGTAACTCTGTGTTCCTTTAAGGTAATACAATCGCTGCTTAGGCTACACGGTAGAATTTTAATAAGAGTATTATCTTAATCATATTAAAATCCGAGTATTGGTGTCTTATGTAAATCTACTCAGAACGTCTCTGGTAAAGTCGCGAGCTGTCAAAGACAGGGCATTACTCTGCCTTTCAGCATGAGCCCTCCAAGTTTAGCGTGTTTCCTCATTAAACGCAATTAAAGCGTATGCTTCGTGTTGTTGTGCCAGAATCCTTGTAAAAAATCGATTATATATATATATATATATATATATATATATATATATATATATATATATATATATATTAGTGCTGTCAATCGATTAAAAAAAATAACTAATCACACCTTTTTATCGCGATTAATCACATATTTAACTTGCTTAACATTTTTATGACCAACTTAAATATGACAACTAACTGAGATAAAGTACATTTAGTTATTTAAAAAAATTGTATTATTATAAATTATACATTTACACTATATTTTTATACTATTAACTATTTAACACTTTGCTTTTAACACTATATAAATAAAACTTTTTAACTCATCACTATACATTACATTTTAGCATACATGAAATTGTGTTTCTCATTATTTACATTATTTTGCCATTCATTACTATTGATTTCAGTAATATATAAGTGATGCATGTTGCCTTGGAAGCTGTTGTAGCTATTCTCCCACAAAGGTAATATTCACTCCTATATACAACATTAAACATCGTCTCACTGTGCTGTCACTATATGTTGTTAGGTTGTGTCCACTGAATAGGGCTCGTCTCGTCTGTCTGTGTTAATCAAGCATGTGCACATTGAGTCTGACAGTATTATTTTCAAACTAATCCAATTTACACTCCAAATCCCAAACCCCCCAGTATCCAGCATCAAAGAGAAACCTGAGCCCTGATTCGGTCTGAACTGAGGTCAGACGTAAACTCCGATTCAATCACTCAGTGTACACATCTTCACACGGCAGACAGGAGTGAATCTGCACAGATGGTCATAGTGGCACATAGTAGAGAAGTGCTGCATGTTTCTACTTTTTCTTGGACAGCAAATCAAGCAGCAATCTGTTAACCGTTGGAGAACGCTGTGAGAATGTAAAAATAACAGTCACAGTGTCACCAGCTGAGCTTTGGGTTTAAATACAACACGTGTCAAGTCTTTACAATTCAAGTTTACTTGTAAAGCGCTTTACACAATAACGATCAATCAATTAAAATGGGGGTAAAATTCAATGAGACGTTTTTTGTGCAATTTGACATGCTTATTTTACCCAGCATTGTGTTTGGTGTCCTGATTGGCGTAAGCTCATCATTGTCAATCAATTTCCTCCGTGCCGTGTCTCCTGTACAGTACAGAATGCGTTTAGCCTGCCAGATTTACCACTCTTTGATTGCTAGCAGTGTTACTCTGAAGGGGGTTGGGACGATAAGGAAATTTTCCCACCGGTTAATCGACATGTGACAACACCGGTAATGGCGGCATCACCGTGTATTAATAACCGGTAATACCAGTATCTTCCTCTTTTTTCTGCTTTTAAATAGCTTATAATTGCATGCGTATTTTACTTTCACTTTCAGTTTTGCAGGAATTGCCAACACGTGCTGCATAAGGGCGCCATACACACTACACAGTACACACTGGCAAGATGACAAGTGCTGAACTCTGCTGAACAGCTGAACTTCGGAAAAAGTGATCACTGCGGTTGCCACGATGGTTGCTTTGTTTCTCTGCAGTTAGCTTAGACTATAATTGGCATAGCATTGCTAAATCACTCGTTTTAATACAAAATAAGTTCACTTATTATTAAACATTGTGAGATGATGGTCGCGTGATTTTTAAAATAAGAGTATGCGTTGCAAATTTATGGCTATTGATCTTATCTACCCGCGACCCACCCATAGTTAAACATCGAGTAGGTTTGTTGAAGGTGCGTGTATTAGTTGCTTCTCCTCCATATGCTGCCACCTTTGTCAGGCAAAGTTTGCAGATTGCCTCATTAACGCTTTCAGGTTCTCTTTTTGCATTTGGTTTGAGCCCAAAATACTGCCAAACAGGCGCTTTTGCATTGCGTTTTGACACTAAATCGTCCGCCATTCTCTTTCTGTAAATTCGACTCCTCTCCTTCTCCTCACGTAATAAATAAAATATGACGCATTGTAGCTATGTTCAGATTTTAATTATAGTGCATGCTCTGGTCTTCAGTAAATTATTTAGACCTTTCTCTCTTATATGTTGTAGTGCTGTATTTATATCATAGTAATCTGCTAGTGTTTGCTTTGCTTTGGGTTTTTCGAGGTTGAATTTTGTGAAATCCGGATTACAACAGAAATACTTGGAAATCTAAGTAGACTGATGACATTTCATGCTGTTCAGACATATAATCTTAAAATGAGAGCAAAATCAGCTGTTTTGTCTTCACTCTAGACATTACGCTAGAGAATCACTTAAACACTAGCTCTACAGTGACGTTGGTGAATGAGCAACGGTTTCTCATGTTCTGACGTCAGCTACAGATGTGAATGAATGGCGGTATAAAGTAGTTCCTCTAACAAAATAGTTTTTAGACTCTCAATGTTTGATTTTCTTTTGTATATACACGAATATGCCGTCAAACTGTTGTTTAAACGCAATATCAAATACTTTTATTAAACAAATACAAATACATTTGTATTTGTTTAATAAACAAATACTTAAAATAAACAAATGTGGGGACCGCGTTACAGTGGATAAGTGACGTCCCCGATGTTTCATCTTAAAACCAGTAACAAAGCCAACACCATCTATCGTGGCAAGCTTACTGTATGTTTGCAAGTTTTCTCCCCAACAAACCCCATAATGCCAACGAAATGTTCTGCACCCTTAAAGGCACCCTCGGTGGCACCTAAAATGCATGCAGCTTCATAATGTTGAACACGGGTACGAAAAGAAAAAAAATACTAGATGCAGTTCACTAAATGACCACAGGTGTCGCCAACAACAAGGCTTTCTGACTCTGTCTCTGCATTTTTCTTCCAGAAGCTGATCTTCTTGCCTGATTATAACGGTGTGCTCAGATGTGACAAAACGTGAAATCGCTGCATCAATTAGCACGTTCCTGACAACTTGTGAATAAAACTATTATAAAGTGCGGCTGTGAATGCAAACAGAGACATTCGCTAATGCATCTGAAGGACGCTCATCAGCTAATGAACCCAAAAGGCACACATTTACACAGAGAAAGCTGATAATTATTCGACACGTGTAAAAAAACACAAAGGCTCTTTTACGGCATTAATACGCCTCACTAGCAGACGCTACACCTGTTTCAATGCAGATGCGTGGGCCTGAAACGCTGGTGCAATAAGGCATAAGAGGTATAGCCTGTCGTTTTAATTGAGTCAGAGGAGACGGCTGTGATTAATGGAGCTCTTTCTGCATTTCTGAGGTTCAGCAAAAATATAACAGAGATGCACAAAGTCAGCATTAACATGCCGTTTCTGTGGCCGCAGGCGAGCCTAAACTTGACCTCTTGTGCACAAACAGGTGTGGTTTGACATAATGAGCTTTGATTTCTATGTTAGGGGTCGCTTGTACTGAGTCAAAAAGATGAATGAATGAGATTTTGGGGTAAATTCGATGTAAATGATCCGGCATGTGTTTTCCTGCAACTACTAAAGATTGAAACTAAATATTAATTTTAAAAAGCATTACACAAGTTCAAAACATGTTATATTTATAATATTGTAAAAATGTAATTGACATTTGAAACCAAAATTATACTATAAACATCTATATTCTCAAATCTGATTGGCTGATAGCCATGCGATATTCCCCGCACTCGTACAGCCTCTTCACTCTTGT